ACGTTGGTAACAGGCAATTTTCATTCCTCTCGCAATCTGGGACCGAAAAATCATTAAAGTTAAGCGGCTTACATGTATTGAAGAAGGAAATTATTGTTATCGACACGTCAACCTGTACAAAACCAGTATATCAAGGTCCCTGACTTCAAGGACTCTGACTGCCTCGTTGGCCGAGTGCTCGCAAGTGCGACTGCCAGGCAAGGGGTCTCGGTTTCGATTCCTCAGTCGGGCAAAGTATTACTGAGTTAAAAAAAATCTCAGTAGTAGCACGGAGTCTGGAATTGTACCCGGTATATGTCAGTAGGTTCACTCCCTATTACATGGGACTGATAATATAAATAGTGAAAAGTGGGTGTTACCTCTACATTGTACAGTGGTATTAAATGCCGTAAATGTGCACCTCTGCCTATCCCTTCGGGGATAAAAAGCGTGATGTTGTGTTACGTTCGATTTATATGATCTATCCACACAAACAAGGGTCAATTTATACTAGTTATGTATAAACTTTAATCATGTATTCCACGAAGCTGTATCACAAAGTAGATACTAATGTATGTGTACCTATTTACCTACAAACGACAGTAAAATGTGAATAATTTACATAGTAACAAGTTTTCTTTGGAACATCTAACAGAAGTTTGCTATTAGGCTCGCATAACATGTACGAAGTTTATTATCTTTTATTCCCCAATGAGAGAGACGAGAGAAGAGACTACATCACTACATAGTATAAAACAAAATCACTATCCGCCGTCTGTCTGTCCCTATGTATGATAGATCTTTAAAACTACGCAACGGATTTTGATGTGTTTTTTTTTAATAGATAGAGTGATTTTTAATGAAGGTATATATATGTATATAATACAGCATTTAGCACCCGTGCGAAGTAGGGGCGGGTAGCTAGTTAGGTATAAACAGTTATTATGAATTTCAGTCAATAGATGATGTGTTACTACGACGGAGATTACAATAGAGGGTTTTTGTCATAATTCCCATGCTTTTTTTTTTTGAGAGGGGAAAATCATCCAATGACTCCTTCGGTAAGGCGTAATTCAGACTCTTACTAACTGTACTTGACTGCAGAGTTGGTGCGTTGGGCAACTGGCTACTGGGCAACGTATCGCGGGTTTGATTCCCGCAAGGAACAATATTCTTTGTGTGATCCGCAGATTGTTGTTCCGGGTCTAAGTGTGATGTGTATGTGAACTTGTATGTTTGTAAACGCACCCACTACACAGGAGAAAATCGTAGTGTAGGGGCAACGGTTTAAAAAAATCTAAATACCCAACTAAAACTAAATTCCTACTTCTGACTTCATCATCATCATCATCAACAGCCCAGCATATAAATGCCCACTGCTGAGCAAAGCTTCTCTTCACACGGAGAAGGTTTGTGCATTAATCACCACGCTTGGTCAATGCGGGTTGGCGATTACAAACTTAAAATTAGAAAGTATAAGCCCAGGTTTCCTCACGACGTTTTCCTTCACCGATTGTCAGTGGTGTCTAGATAATTTTAGAAAGTACATATAACTTGGAAAAAGTTGCATTGGTACTTGCCGTTGGTAGGTTTCGAACCCCGAAATAGTAGTTGGGTCACCTAAAATTTTAAGGAAACTGTTTTCTGCCTTCCGAAGACAGGCCACTGTTTTAAGACACCCTGAACTGAAGAAACTTAAACATTTTTTATAAAAGAATGTTAGACTTACAACTGTATTGATATCTCAAATTCTACTCTATCTATCTATCTTTTATTCTATATACATATAATAAAATTGTAGAAAAGTGCTGTCTGTACATTGAAAATAAAAATAAAAAAAATAGCAGGGGTTATTGTTATGTCGATGTCGAACCCAAAAATGTAATTAACTTTTTTTTTGTCTGTTTGTCTGTTCACGCTAATCTCAGAAACGGCTGATCCGAGTTGGATGTGGTTTTCACGAATATATTGTGGTATGCTTCAGTTATGCTTTAGTGTTTGTTTCATGTCAATCGGTTCATAAATAAAAAAGTTATGTCAAATTAAAGAATCACGCCGTGAGTATATATTTAAAAAAAAAACGCTGCTCATAGTCACTATTCCACGCCGACGAAGTCGCGGGCACAGCTAGTCTTAAAATAAAACCCTAAGTAACGTTAACATTTTCTACAAAGACAAAGAAAGCAAGCTAACACAAGCCGGTAAATCTAGTCAGACAACAAACTAACACCTAATTTATCCAGGAGAAACCTGATCAAACATCCGAGCGACCTTTACTTAATGACGGACCAACAAATTACCTTTAACGAACCTTTCAGGGACCATGTAGGCGTAGAGTGGTTCTGTTTCATTACTTTATTTACACAATTTGTACTCACTGCTTATAGAGATAAGATAGGTTATCGTGCGCGTCAATTCCCATGAGTAGTTGCTGTAGTGCATGATTGCAATTTGTTGTGCATAGTATTCTTGCTTTTGTTTCATATGTTAAGTGTGAGAGAGCCATGCTTCGGCACGAATGGGCCGGCTCGACCTGAGTGATAACACGGCCGAGCAGAAAACCGACGTAAAGCAACGCTTGCGTTGTGTTTCGTCGTGTGAGTGAGGTTACCGGAGGCCCAATTACCCTCCCCTTCCCCAATCTCCCCAATTCCTAAATCCCCAACGATCCTCAAACTCCTAATTCCCCAAAAGGCTGGTAACGCACTTGTAACACCTTTGGTGTTCCAGGTGTCCATGGGCGACGCCGATTGCTTACCATCAGGTGATCCGTCTGCTCGTTTACTGGCATATGCCATAAAAAAAAAATCAACATTACTGATGATCTAAGCACCTCCATTTAAGATGATGCCATAATCTCCTGGCGCGGCTGTCTGGTGTCGATCGAATTAGTTAGTCAATCAAATCTTGTAACTATCACGAAACAGGAATGGTTCTGTCAATATAACCTCAGTACAAAATGTCTACACTTGATTTTAACACGCAGTTACTACGTAAATAAATAGCAAAACGGGTGACGAAAACCGGTCTCTTAGGCACCAAAGTCTTTACGATAAAGTTCAAACGAAGTTTTTGTTGGTAAAAGTTTGGCTTGATTACAAATTAGATGACTTTGTCTCCATCCGCGACCGTGATAAACGTCCAGCTTCGAAACTTTTCCATGAGAAAACTCTCAAATTCATAAAATTAACGCACCAATATTTATATAGCGTCAAACTAAAATTGAACAAACTTTCGGAGGCTAACTTATCCAATGATAAATGAACTTTAAGGCGTGCTTTTCTTGAAATTGATAGGGAATGAAACAATGCTTCAAGCCCTAGTGTACTTACGAAGTTCCTTATTAGTCTCATGACATAATAAGGTTGTAAATCATTTGCCATTTTATTCTGCTAAACACTTATTCCAAGTTACAAAAGGTGTGTGCTATATATTTATCTTTTCCTTTCATTTAGCTTCAGAAGTCATCACATTCATGCATAATTAATCCGTATCCAACCTTTTTTGTTCTTTATTATATCTCTACCCGTATATCCCCAAGCGGTCACCGGTGACCGCTCTCCACTAACTACATTATAGACCTTATTTCCAATGTTTAGATACTATTTTTGTATGAACAAATTTAGGGGATGATTTTCAACGAGTTAATCCATTAACCAAGGACGTTGAAAAACAGGCAGACGTAATGTCACTTAGAAATGATTGAAACGCCAAAATGTCAGTGGTGTATTTATGTGTGCGTGTACTTGCAACACCGTAATGTATGAAGTGTAATGACGACCATGTCACACACGCGACAGATGTCCTTCGTGTCAATGTGTGTGTATTCTGCGTAATAGTTGTTTCAATCAATTAGATAATCGGAGATCAGAACGCCCACAGCCCCTGCCGACTACTGAACCAACAAAATCTATCTAGACAATTTAAGAGAAAGAAGAGGACTAATTTATCTTCGTCACATCAAGTAGAACTCAGCTAAAATCAATTGAGTCGAGACAATCCCTAAGCTGTACCTAGTCCTTAATTAAATACGTATTTTAACATTTCAAGCCGACACTGAACTCAAGACTAATTGGTCTGCGAAATTGTAGCACTTGCTTAAACTGTTTTTGAGATATTATTTCCTTTTGTTAAACACAAAGATGGGGGCTGGAAGTGGCGTTGAATGAGGACTATCGATTTTCTGAACATTTCGCTGTTCTTATCTACAAGAAAATATGAATTGTATTGCGATAACAATAAGTTTTATCTTAAAAATACAGCGAAAGTTACGAGTGAAAATATGTCTGCTTGCATTGGAAAATGAATTCTAAGAACTATGTTTATAGTTCCTATATTGAATAAGTTGGTGGTTATGTAATGTAAATGAAATGACGGTGATATATGTACCTATTTTTCTTCAAATTAAACAGACTTGGAAAATTTACTTAATTTTCGGTATTATTATCATTTATCCAATAAGTATATCAGTAAATAGTAATTAACCCACACAGATAGTGATGGTGACACGTAACGAAATTAACCATGAATGAATAAACTAACTGTAGGACGAGATAGGAACGTTCTAGATAAGTGACGTCACGCCCGAATTGGCGCCAAAGGCATTATCTGGCGCAAAATGTCTGCTTACTAAATTTTCTTTTTGACATTTTGTCCAGGACAATACGGGTCGCTGCAAATTTTTTAAAGGATCAAAAGGGTTAAAATGTCGTTGAGCAATTTTCAAATGTCTCCTCAGTACTTTTCGTGCCTACGCGATAAGAATTTCAAGGTCAAATGAAAAGATACACGTCGCTAAATATGTAATATGACATTTTTGTTAATTCAAAATAGACTTCCGAAGGCTTTTTTAACTTTATTTATATCTCATGGAGGGGATGCATGTCTCAAGTTAACGCTGAACTGAGCACTAGCTTAGCATGTGCGAGACAGGGTCTTGAACTAGTCTGTTAGCCCCTTACAAGTAGCCAAAGATAAGGATAGTCAGTAAACAATAGTAAATTATTGGCATTTAGGTGTACCTCACATATCCTTTCCTCGGCGGATAATCCTTGTGAAAGACGGAGTGGTTGAGGATCATCTTCTCGTCACCGGTGTCCAACCACGACCGCTGCAGCACAAAGTCGCGGTTCTTGAGGGGCGCTGGACATGACACTGGGAACAAAAAATATGTATTTTAGTAGGTTTTAGTACCTGTACATTATCATAATCCATGTAGTGACGACAGAGTGGAACACATTTGTCATCACATGTGTCGTGAGTCGCGTGTCTTATAGAACTACATTATATCTGACTGAGACTGCACAGCAGCACTCTATCATAGACCAGAACCTTAGTCCAGACCAGAACCTTACTGATAGTCTAGAACCGCGACCTATTACCTGCATGCAAAACGTGAAGTCTGACATTAGAATGTAGAGGAGATGCACAGACCAACAATGGTCTATCACGGTCTGTTGACGATATTTATACTACTTAAGCATTATTTTGATGTAGGTACCTGAGTAATGTCAAACATTATATGTAAGAAATTGATAAAATGTACGCATCTTTTTCTGTTTCCTCGACGCTTTTCGATATTCGTGATATTTCGGAATCCAATCAAACTGTAATTGCCATTAGCTTCCGAAATATGGGGTAAAGAAGCGTGACTTTCAAATATCAATTTGTTATCGAAATGGAATCGTTCTAAAGCGATTAGTACAGAATTTGATTTTAAGTTCTGGGGATGCTAGCGAGGTTACGATGCCTGGCAATATTATGCCAGCCAGCCAGCTTAGACAAAATTACTTTTAAGCATTGGTTGAATGAGTAACTACAAAAGTCAGTATATCCCTTTACACCCGGGATGAAACGAGCGAGCGTTTAACTTTTAAAAAATTCTGGCGCCAAACCATTTGAGTTTTAATGCTATTTTATGAATGTGCATTTTATATATAACATACAATCATAACATCACGCCTCTTATCCGCGAAGGAGTAGGCAGAGGCGCTCATTACGGCATATGATGCCACTACAATGTAACACCCACTTTTTACTATTTGTGAGTCCCTTTTAATAGGGGGTAAGCCTATTGCCACATATCGGGCATAATTTGAGACTCCGTGCTGCTACTGAGATTTTATTTAAACCTAGTAGTATTTTTCCCGACCCGAACTCGAGACCTCTTGTCCGTTACAGTATATTGATTATTTTATTTATTTCAGTATTTGCACTGAAGTCTTTTGTCTAGGGGATATATATACAAGGTGTAGTTTTAAAACCGTGTCATTTCTCGGAGGCATGTCACAGAAGTCATAAAGGTTCAATGTAAGAAAAAATTTCGGGCCAATAGTTAAAAATACGGCTATAATAAATCGTTTAAGTTCGACAGTAATTCAGAATAAGCAACAGTAATGTTTCTTATTGGAGTTTTATGGAATTAGGAATAATATCAATTAACTACGTGTTTGATTGTGTGTGTTAAGCCGCGTTATAAAACTATTTACAAGACGGCGGCGTGTACTTTGCACTTCGGATTTCCGTAATTTCAGAAAAAAAATCTTTATTGATTCGCACTCAGAATTGATATCCGAGTTACCTCCTAGAAAATGACGCGGCTTTAAAACAACACCTTGTATAATACAGAAAAACACTCATACGAAGCCGATGCTTCCCTCTAATCTTTTTTGGCTCAATAAAATAAAATACACATTTAATGTCATCAAATACGGATCGATTCCACTCGCTCTAGTGAAGTTCATCAAAGTTGTATGTTGCTCGCTTTATATTCACGACGCAAACGAACGTTCCGCGTTAGATATAGATAGCTTCACTTTTCTTTCACTTTCTAAATAGGGTAGATGCCTAATTTTTATTTTAATGTCCGAGTAGATTGTTTCAAATCATTCGTCGTATTTCTTATTTTCTTACTGAAACGGACACTTTCGACGATAGTTATATTGATTTGAAATATCGCGTGACGTCACTTCTATGTATATTTTATACGTAGAAATGACTTTTTAGCCCCCACTCCTAAACTTTGATTCGTTTTATCTCAGTAATGTTTTATTATACGATAAAATAAAAAAATACGTGTCTAATATTTTTTAATTACCTAACTTACGGACTAATTAGATTTTTAATTTCCAAACCCTGTCATCAACCCAATTGTAAAACTATCATGTTATTTGTGAGATAAAGATGAAGTAAAAACATGTAGGTGTAGGTACTTGGGCACGTTATCATTCCAATACATTATTTTACGACAAAATTACTGTGTTTAACTTCTGCATATCCGATTAGGAAAATTCACAACATTTGTTGATATAAAAGTAGTCTCTAAACATCGGAAATAAGGTCTTTAATGGAGTTAGTAGAGAGCTTTCATCGGTGACAGATTGGGAACTGATAGAAAAATAATATTCTTAGAAGAAGACAGTCAGTAATAAATAACACTATATACTTTACAAAAAATGTCGTGGAGAACCTAACGGGTTACCGGGACTCCGGCTGGACGTGCAGGAGAAGGAACGGGGTGGTTTTTAGTCAGTAAGAGTCTGACGCTCCCTCCAGCCTCACCCAGGCGGGAGCAGGCATTCGATGATTTTCCCCCCTTAAAAAAAATACTTTACAAAATAATTTCCTCTTTTCACGCAGAATTGATTGAATTCTAAAATCGCGTAAACCAGAGCAACTGCAGTAAAACTAAAAGGCTAAATGAAAATAAACTTTAGCACTACAAGCTAAGAGCCAGATTGAAGTCCAAAGTATTCTTATCCCGAATTTCCTTTATTCAAAACATAACAATAAAGACGCAATTCTACTAAAACTATTCCCGACATCTTATTAAAAGTTCAGAATAAACTGCTTGAGCGCCCGACTCCTTTCCAAAGCGATCCGTCTTGTATGAAATATGATTAAGTCTGTCACTTGTTGCACAGTTTCTAGTTCTTTTTACTGGTTAAAAATAAATCCTTTGAAAGTGAATACATTATGGAGAAAATAAGAGAAAGGAGTACCTATTTTTTTTAAGCGGGCTAAATCATCGAATTACTTCTACCGCCTGGATGAGGCGGGAGGGAGTGTCAGACTCTTACTGATTAAAAACCACCCCGTTCCTTCTCCTGCACGTCGAGCTGGAGCCCCAGTAACCCGTTAGGTTCTCCGCAACAAGAGAAAGGATTACCTATGTGTTTTACTTTACTTAAACCATCCTTTTTTGATGATGGGCGCCTATCTTTTTAGGGAGAAAGACTAGGGAGTGTGTGATCTGTACCTCACTAAAACCACGTGGTGCCCACCTTCAGCACCTGTAACGGGCACCGGGTCCTCCGAAGAGACCTGCTCCGGAGCCCCCACGGTGCAACGCCTGTTACAGCACATCCCTAGGGTACTTATACCACCCTTGTGGGTCACACATCAACACATTCTAATGGTGATAGGACAAACATAATACATTTTTTGTTATACTATATTCAAGGGCTATTAAACCCTAAAGTCTAGACCAATGAATCTATGCTTAAACAGTGACCGGCTCAACAGAGCATGAAGGCGAAATATTGTTCAATTGTTGGGTACTGGTTACCTTTTAGGTATTAGGACAACAGGCGTAATGTTTTATAACCCATCTGGATAGAAATAAGGTTTCATATATGTAATCAAGTTAAAACTCACGATATATAGTTAAAAAAGATAGTCGTGGTGATAATTAAACGAGGCAAAAATATGTATAGTTGAACTACATAATGTAATGAAACTCGACAAAAACAACTTTTTTGATAGGATTGACATGATGATAATCATGTCGGATGCTTTCTCATCAGGATTCTACATACATACATAACTTCACGCCTGTCTCCCATGGGAATAGGCAGAGACTATGAAACTACGATTCCTACATACCTCTTTCATAATATTCATACAAATGTACATTCTTTCTCAAGTGGATTCTACTTACTAGGAAATGATATAGAAACATTAGAAGAGTCAAAGTTTTCATTAATCCCCATCACCGTATCAAATTGTAGACACAAGCTGACATCGAGGACTTACAACAGCAATGCGGTTTACAAAGAAAATCGAAATGGCACAGTTTTTTTTATCAACCCCTCAATCGCACACTGCGTTTCATGGGCTTAAAAACCTTAAGCACCGATTCAGTTCTTTTCAAACGGTGAGTAGAAAACCCCAGGGGGCCGTCAAGACCCTTTATAGGGTTCTTAATTACTTTATTATAGCAGAAAATTACTTTTAAAAGCGGTTTTTAAAAATTATCTGATACTGCCTTATTGGTTAAGTGGTTGCAGGAGTTTTAAATAAGAATTTTCGGGTAATTTGAGTAAGGTTGAGTATGAAATTACAACCAGTGCGTTTGGACATTACACTTCTCGCCCATGAGGGTGACTATGACATATTTCATGTGTATATGTATATGTACCTACGTATAGACGTTAATGCGACGAAAACTGTAAGTAGTTAAGGGACATGAAACGTGCATTAAATGATGTTATATTTAAAATGAAATACATATTTCTTACCTTATTCCACATAGATCACAATGGTGGTACACAAAATTATTATTTGAACGAAACGAACAACTTTACGAAAATATATAGTACCTCTAGATACTGTTAGTAATTACGATTCAAGAAGAAACATGGAAAAATATTGATTTTCACATATTTCCTATCTAATAAATACAAATGAAGTATGAGAGAGCCATGCTTTCGCACGAATTGGCGGGCTCGACCGAAGTGATATCATGGCCTCACAGAAAACCGACGTGAAACAACGCTTGCGTTGTGTGTCGTCGTGTGAATGAGGTTATTGGAGATTCAATTACCCCTCCCCCTTCCCTAATCTCTCCAATCCCTGAATCCCCAACAATCCTCAAATTCCTTATCCCCAAAGGGCCGGTAACGCACTTGTAACGCCTTTAGTGTTCCAGGTGTCCATGGGCAACGCCAATTGCTTATCATCGGGTGATCCGTCGGCTCACTCGGCTCGTTTACCAGCTTATCCCATAAAAAAAAATAAGCTGGAACTTTGTCAAGAAACACATCAGGAAGAAGCACATCAATAACATTAATTAATATCCATATGAAAACACGAAAATAATAATTTGATCACACCAACTCGTCAACAAACAAACATAAATCATGATTACCAAACTT